ATCGACCATAGGCTCCGCTCGACCAAGGGGGATGGAGCCCGGTCGGTATCAATAGTCCTCCATGACCGTGTCAGCCAATCCCACAAAGTCCCTACCTTCTCTATCGCGGGACCTTTGCGCTGCTGGATAGTACCTATCTTCCCTTACACTTCCTCTGTTCCCATTACTCCCTCTATTACCATTACTCCCTCCGGGGCCTCCTCTACCTCTCGCTCTGCCTCTAAAGTTTCCGTAACCTGCCCTGGGTAAGTCTCTCTCATACTGCTCTCTTTGCGGACACTCGTTCCTCCAATGCCCTTCTTCCTTACAGTACGCGCACTGATTCCTACTCAAAGGCTCCCTATTCCATCTACCATCGCCTCTATCTGGGCCCCGTCTATCTACGCCTGCGATCGCTACCGCTAGCATATCTGCCTTTCTACGCATCTTGCGCTCTTCCTCTTTCTTACTTTCTGTTTCCCTATTCATATATACTTTGTTCGCTACCTCCATTAGTTGGGTGATAGACATACCTGCAAACCCTTCTAATTTCTGTAGCTTGCGCTTAATATCTCCGTAAGCTTGGCTGACAAAGGCGGAGTTTACCATTCGGGAATTATCAGCGTCTTCCGGATTAAAGGGGGTATACAAGCGGTATGCCTCCAATAATCGGTCATAAAAGACACTGGGCGCTTCATCACTTTTCTGAATCACCTCAACTGTCTTCGACATGTTAATAGCTTTCTTCCCTCCGGCTTTCATGCCAGCAATTATAGCATCTCTATAGGCTTTAAGTTGAGCCATATCTGCGCCATTTACATTCCAGTCAGGATCGGTGTTAGGGTAATGTGTTGCGGCCCATGCTGCCGGATTGGCTTGATTTAAAGCACGGGCTCTCTCCTCTAGCGCCTTAATGGCCGCTTGGTTAATCCTTGTCCTTTCCTCATTATTGAACAATGTCATTAATAACTGCTGGCAATCAGCCCATGTCGGGTTATGTGTCTGAACTATCGAGGTGAACAGATCGGTCATAGCTTGTGGTTTCTCAGTGTACGAGGAATTGTGGGTCTTCCAATTCAAGAGATCAGTAGTCGTGAACGGGACATATACAAAGACTGGGTCAGCATGTGCCATTTGACCTGCGGCATCGATATAGGCTGACCCAGGATTCAGACGAAGAGGCATCTGGTAATGTTTTAATTGTTGGGTACCGGTCAGTTGTCGGGTTAGTATGGGACTACGTGGAGGGGCGTCAGTTAAAGGTTCCGGTCGAGAGGTAATAGGGCATGAGGATGTGGGAACTTGATTTTGTGAAAAATTAGTGAATAGTATACTCCGAGCCGAGCTAGAAGAAGCTTGACCGGAAGTTTGAAGTGGCGCCAAATCAGGATATTCAGATCTAATGGGAGTTGGTCCTGGTTCAGGAAGGGGAGTTTTAATACGAGGGGGGGTAGATTCTGTACTGGAGGAGGAAGCGGAAGTGGATGGGGGCAATAGGGGAAGGGGTGCAGAACTTCCTGCATTCGCGTCACTTCCTCTCAAAGGGAAGTAAGGGGGCGGCAAAGGGATCTCGGACTCAGGGGGCGTGTCCAAAATGGGCCTAACACCGGTCCTAGTGGACAAATAAGTCCTGGCCACCATGAGGCGACATTGCTCCTCGTGGCATATCCGGATCCATTTTGGCGAGTCGTTTACGGCCTGCCTCCAACAATCAATGTATGGAAACTGTCCGTAAAGTTCAGGCCTACCTGATACAGCCACGTGTACACGCTGTACCAGGGTTGGATCCAAACTGCCACGCGGCGGCCATGCCGCAACCAAAATAGGCCACTCCCTAGTGCACAAAGTGACCAAACGTACAGGAGACATTTTAACCCCAAAATCACATGTTTTGAATCCCTTTTTAAAATTCTTTACCATACAACCTAAGGGATCCGAAATCGTTGACTCTGACGCGCCCATACTTATCAATGGAACGTCGTTGACAACGAATACTATGCACGCGTTCTTATTCAACAGTCACACCCGTTTCCTCTGGCAACAGCACCACGTGGTACAGTTACCGAGTGAAACGTACACAATAACACAATAATCACTCAGGGAATTCCCGTACACACACAGCTGTTACACCAGTCACTAAATAATCAATATTATGCCCTTTGGCGAAACTATACAGTCACCCACGCTATAATTCTCTATATATGAATTACCCGTCTATAACACACCCCAGTAACATCGTCTTTTACTAGTATCGGTTACAGTACGGTTAGCATAGGTCAAAGCACAATTTAAGGTCACAATACAATTATTAGTGGTTACGGTGTTAAACATGCAATAGACGACAATGATTAGTACTTATATACAGTGTCAGTAAATATACAGGGTTATGGTACCGTGCACTATGATACAGCAACACACTATTAACACTCTCGCTAGACGGCTGAGCTCGCGCTATCTAACAAGATATACACTTTACTAACAATCTTTAACACATTTACAATCCCAACTAAACTATTGGCCAGTACCTTGAATGGACTACCTAAAACTATATACACCCGTTTTGGTTAGCCACACTGCCCAAACACCACATATAGCGAACTAGAGGGCGAAATTTACAAAATTGCCCTTCTAGTCTATTTACTCTATCAAAAGTCTAGTGGGTTCCAAATTTACACGCCTTCCCACTTAGCCAAGATAGGTTGAGAGCTAGCGAACCGAATTTACACAGGCGCCGCTTAGTCTCCCGGTCCCTCCGACCTAGCGAACGTAATATACACCCTAGAACGCTAGTCTAGACAAGACACCGGTGTCCGGCTAGGGCTATTTACACAGGACCCCGCCTGACTAACCAGATCAAACGGTCTTACTAAAGAGCGTTCGATCGAGCGGTGCGCCTTCGCTCCTTCCCTCCGACAGAGGGGGCAGATTCCATACACAGATTTAAACCCCTTTTGGGCCTACCGCACAATCGGTATACCCCTAGTGGGTCTGCCGTCTAAAACAGCAGTTGTCTTACCTCCTCGTTCCTGAACCTGAGTTCACACTCATCGACGGGGACACCCCAGCACTTCTTACGTAGAGGCCGATGATCTCCTGGACAACAGACCAGTGGCGCCGAGACGAAGGGAGGTCCACGCAGAAGTTCAGGGGTGCAGCCGTAGAGAACGTGGGCAAAGATAGACCGTCTCACGCCTCTGCCTCTCAGCTACCGTTGAACGATGAGCTTCCCGGCCAATGCACCAAATGATACCGGAGAAACTGACGGAAGCAAAGCACAGAGGGATGGACACAGGTTTCTTCAGGAAGGAAGAGATTCTTTATTGGATCACCGATCGGGACTCAGAGGGACTAATGTCACCAAAAATACAGCAAGTTCTGAGCCCTGAACAATAGTGCAGGCTCCCTATATAGGCACATAACTCCTCCCATATTAAGCTCCACCCGCACATTCTCTTGACCAATCATTACAAATAAGAATTAACTTCCTGCTTGACCGCATGGCTTGTCCAGCACAATGGAGGAGGGGAATACTACATCCTGTATTCTTGCACATGCTCCGTACACTACTGATCGTATCTTGCCTCGTGCAACCAACTGATCGATACGTCAGCATATGCACGTACACATGCCACGTGGTAATCTCGGCCTACTAAATTTATTTTTACCGAGATTCCACCACATGATGAATACTGGTGGTGGTGATAAGATTACCAGAGTCTGAGGTTAGGTAGCTGGATCAAAGGTTTGGGTTACTGGGATCTTGTCATGGGGTAACACTTCCGGGTTCGGCACTCCGCTATGCGGAGACAGACCCCGCCCCCCTCTGACGTGGCTCTGACGGTATTTAGGGAGACCGCGCCAGAGAGAGGAGGCTTGGTGATACTGGGAGCTTACTGGCTCCACAGGCTCTGGCAATGTGAGTCCTACTTCCGGGTATGCACGCCGGCTCCTGGGACAAGCCGACTCTACAAGCTCTGACATGCCGTCCTAGCCTTCCGAGCTAAGACAAGTATGCTTCATGCCATAGAGGATTACTGGAGAACGGAAACTCACTTACTTTACAAGTGGACTATATCTCTGAACTATTGGAGGACTACTCATATTAACCTTAAGTATATCTTTCAGCTATTTGTCTGCAATCTCATTTAATAATGAACTAATGCTTGCTTACTCAAATCTTCACTGCTTCAAGCTACTAATTATATGGAGGACAACTCCCATCATGCTTATTAACTATGAACTGTTCTTGCTTTGCAAATACTATCAGCTACTTGCTTAATGTTGCTATTGAAGATTATTCTCATGAACCTAAAGAATGTTACTTAATGCATCTCTGAGGAAATACTTATTAATGAATTTTGTATTATTTAAACCTACACTTCTTCTTATTGGATTATTGCCTAAATGCAACTCATTTAAGTTTAACACTTATTAAAACTTTGTTTGAATCTCAAGTTACCAGCAATCCTCTCTTTTCTTAAAGCTACAGTATTGATACTTTTAAAGATTCTCAGTTTCTTCACTATTGTAATTAGGGAGTTTTACAAGCTGCAGTTGAGTTCCAATTGAAATAACCCAAGTAGCGTAACAGATCTGAGGTTTAGGGTAAGCAGGGTTTCAGTGTAGATGAAGTATAAAATAATGTTCCTATGTGCCATGTTAGGGAATAACGTGGTTCCTATCAGCATTCTTATGCATATTTAAACTGTATTGTGAATTAAATACAGTACAGGTATATTTTCCTGTAGGGAGTTAAGTATATATAAAGACATGTTTGCATATTTGTGTATGTATATGGCTATACAGTTGGGTGGATGGGTATGGGGCTTGTGTGAGTGGCTGATCTTGAATATGTGTGTGTATATTTAAAGGACTTTACAAACGTGTGTTTATGTTTTAACCATTTAATTGCATGAAAATATCCTTTTTGGACAGTTTCCTTTAGCATAGCCTGTTCCATAAGACGTGGAACTAGTTTGACTGTGTTCCTGTTCCACGAGGGCCCTGTCACTGAGCTCCAACAAGATGGCTCCCACTACCAAGGTGCGGTGTTTAGAACAGTGCCTGTGTTCTCGTGTGTATGGAACACAGGGAACATTTCCGATGTTCTATCACAGACCTGCTATTGTTTGCTTTGGTTTTTTTTTTTTGGCCATTATCAAAGATGGCGTCCGCAGACTTCCGGGATCGCTCTTTGTGGGCATCTCGTTGTACTTAGACCGATTTCTAATGGGAATTTCATGGCGTCCTCGCTGAGCGGCATGTTTTCAGCGCAGCCTCCTGGTCCCCCACCTCCCATGCAACCCGGGGTGGGGCCGGGACTCATGTCAACTCCCCCCGGGGCCAAGAACCCCAATAACACCCTGGTGGACGATTTGGAATCTTCATTCGAGGTTAGAATCCTGAGTATCAGCAACTGGTCTGGGGGTTCTTTGCCTGCCTGCCGTTATCTCCCAGCGAGAGGGGCATGGGTAGCATGGGCAGAGGAACATGGTCTCTATACACCAGGGGTCCTCAAACTGCGGCCCTCCAGATGTTTCTGAACTACAACTCCCATGATTCTTTGAATTACATAGATAGCCAGAGAATTATGGGAGTTGTAGTTCAGCAATATTTGGGCAGAGAGTTTGAGGACCCCTGCTCTACACAGCAGTCTATGCTTTTGTTTTACATGATTATTTATAAAGCGCCAACAATTCCGCAGCACTGTACAATGGGATCATAGTAATACATTCAATGCATTCTTTCAGTGATGAATCGTTGTGAATACATAATGGTGCAGATATTTGTACATATTTTTACATTTTGTACCTATACATTTCATATAAAGATGTGTAAACGGGCTTCATACATGATACAATAGGCGTATATGCAACTTTTTAGTCTTACAATTATGACTTTTTCTTACATTGTAGCTAGTGCCAAATTTCAGACTGAAATTTGTTTGTATTTCTCATTCCAGATTAAAGGAACACTATAGAGTTAGGAATACAATCGTGTTTCAAACACTATATAGTTCTAGAGTGGCTGTTTAGGTTACTGGCACACTCAGTTCAGAGTGTATTAAAGGATCAGTATAGTGTCAGGAAAACAGCGGTTTTCCTGACACTATAGTGCCCTGAGGGTGCCCGCACCTTCAGGGTCCCCCTTCTGTGGCGCTGAAGGGGTTAAAACCCCTTCAGCAGCTTACCTTCCAGCGCTGGGCTCTCTCGGCGCTGGTGACCTCTCCTCCCCCTCTGATGTCAGCGGAGCTGTGTGCGCGGCAAGTTGTCAATAGGAAAGAATTTTTCAATGCTTTCCTATGGACGCTCTGCGCGATGGAAGCATAATATGCCTTCAGCGTCACAGATGCGCCACTAGTGGCTGTTCGGAAGACAGCCACTAGAGGCTGGCGTAACCCCAACTGTAAACATAGCAATTTCTCTGAAACTGCTATATTTGCATCTGAAGGGTTAAAACCTGAGGGACATTGCACCCAGACCACTTCATTAAGCTGAAGTGGTCTGGGTGACTATAGTGTCCGTTTAAACATCATTTCTCCATCATTGCTACTGGCCCCGCCTGCGTGCCGATAATATATATTAAAACAATATTTTAGGCATTATGGCTGCAAGGCCTGTCCCCAGGTGCAGCAGCCCACTGGGAAATGTTCACGGTATCCCGGTGGGCCGGTACACTCCTGTATAATATGTGTTGTACAATAATTTGAAAAAATGTAAATTGTGGTTTAACACAAACATTGCAAATATTGCTTTGGTGCTTAAAGGACCACTATAGTACAAGGAAAACACTCGTTTTTTTGGCACTATAGTGCCCTGAGGGTGCCCCCACCCTCAGGGACCCCCTCCAGCCCGGCTGGATGGCAAGGAAAGGGTTAAAACGTACCTTTTCTCCAGCGCCGGGCGGGGAGCTCTCCTCTCCGCCTCTTCGGCTAAATGTGCATGCGCGGCAGGAGTTGCGCGCGCATTCAGCCGGTCTCATAGGAAAGCATTTACAATGCTTTCCTATGGACGCTTGCGTCTTCTCACTGTGATTTTCAATGAGACGGCTACTAGAGGATTTAGAGGCTGGATTAACCCTAACGTAAACATAGCAGTTTATCTGAAACTGCTATGTTTACCAAAAAAAAAAAAAAGGGTTAATCCTAGAGGGACCTGGCACCCAGACCACTTCATTAAGCTGAAGTGGTCTGGGTGCCTAGAGTGGTCCTTTAAGTGAAAAACAAATGATGCTCGGTCACTAGGGGATATTATGTCTAGGATTTCAGTTTATTTTCGCAAAATACAAAGAGAAAAATACAAACTTATTCTTATGCCCCCACACCCCCCCAAAAAAAGAATGTTTTACTTCTCTTAATCCACCACCGGGCAATGCTCCTGGCGCTGCTCAGCATGCTCCCACCTGACCCCACGTGAATCGCCCGGAGTTCAGTTCCAATGCTTCTCATAGAGAAGCCTTTGATTAGACAATTTAACTGAGGGGAGAGCACAAGAAGGGAGAGCGAGTGGCAGAAAAAAAAAAAAATATTAGCAGAGGGTTTAGGGAGGCAATCCGTGTACGTCTTCAGAGTCTTATGTAACGAGGGTGGAACTAGCCCCCGGCACACAATTAAAAATTACTCTGAATGTGCAGAAATGCATATAGAGATTCCTACCGCCAGGATGACTACAAAAAGCAAAAGTGTTCAGCTTTTAACAGCTAATTTTTATGTTTTCTTTTTTGTAGCTGTCAGACTGTTTGTTTCCTATTCTGTTATCTTTGTGTAAACCGATCACAGTTTAGTGAATATACTCCTAACACAGAAAGTTTACACATTTTTTATTTATATATATATATATATATATATATATATATATATATATATTCTTTTTTTTCCTATTTGAATACTTTGGTATACTACTCTTTAATGCCTTTGCTGCAGATGATTACACAATGTCGTCATCCACAGTACTCCCGAAATGCGGTGGATGACACACAGTTATTCACTAAGGCTCGCTCTAGGGCCAGGACATTGTCTTCACTTTTTCAAATAACGTCTGCCCAGAAAAGGTGTGCCCAGTTATTAATGTTCCTTCTATTGGGTCAACCAATTTTGTCCAGGTTGAATGAATGAAATTATCGTTGATAATGTGAAAATGTTATATTCTCATTACCAATGCAGCCATGATGGAGGGCCATCCCTCTGATTGAGAAGAGCTCTAGTTTATACCAGTGTTCTTTTGCAGTTTGATATTAATCCAGGGGATGGCGCCAGGTGACTTTAGGAAGCCTAATATACAGTTTGCTTAGAATGCCTTGTTAAATGCAGTGAATGCAAAAGCATAACATATTTGGTCAAGTAAGGTGATATGAATGCTAGTGTAGCTTAGTGCAAGATATTTTTATTTGAGCTCTTTGGTTTTTTTTTTTCAGATCTAAATGTCTGCAATTTCTTTTACAGGCTTGTTTTGCTTCCCTTGTTAGCCAAGATTATGTAAATGGTACAGATCAAGAAGAAATCCGGACCGGTGAGAACACTTTATTTCTAAATGAATGATTAATAGAATTGTCCTAAAATTGTACATGGCTCAGCAATGCAAAGGCTATCTCAATTTAGAAGTTTTGGATTACTTCCAACCCTACCTCTGAATATGTACATATTCTTTGTACATTGTGAATAAATTCTCATTTATTATTATTATATTTTTTTTAGTACGAACAGAAATGGGAGCATTGCTTCTAACTATACTGTAATTTAAAATCAAATATTCAAACTAAAATGTATCAAATCTTGCACTTTTTTTTTTTTACATTTTAGATTTACTTTTGTACTAAGAATATTAATTATTATTATTATTATTACCAATGTAACGTGTGCTGTAGTGATTATGGTACTAGGAGTGCTCCAGTGGATGTAAAGCTCACTACCTCTGTCACTATGCAAGTATATCTGTAGTTCCCAACTAATCAAACAATGGACATACCTGGCTGTCAGAATGTTGTGTTTCTTGTTTGGATTATCATAAAGAAACCGTTCCATGCAATTTTATTTTTTTCTCCTTTTATTTCAGGGGTTGATCAATGTATTCAGAAATTTCTAGATGTTGCCAGACAAACGGAATGTTTTTTCCTTCAGAAAAGATTGCATCTTTCTGTCCAAAAGCCTGAGCAGGTTATTAAAGAGGTTTGTCACATTGCTGACATTGCATAGTATGGTGGAAGGGATTCAGGGTGAAATATGGTACCAAAAGGCAATCCCTTTGCAAAGCACATAACCATCAAATATAAAAAAACTGCCATACACCAACAACTCATTACATTTCCATCACATTCAGTGTCTGATGTTGCTTTGCCTACCTTTCTTTCATATGTAGGCCTGTAGAGCATTATGGGAGTTACTGCAGGTTACAGGTTTAACTGCAAAACCCCTGTTTTGTATGTTGAAGAGTTTCTTTAACCACCATGACCACTGAAGTGGTCATGGTTGTATTAGTCAGTATGTGCAGGGTTTCTGCTTAAAACACGCACATACAATGTTCTTATTAACTGTATGCTGGGGGCTAGTTACACACCCTGCACACATGACATAAGCAGCTTAGAACCCTATTCAGGACTGCCTAATTTCAATTCTGTGCATTGTTTGCATCTGTCGTCCGTGCGCTGGCAAAATACATTATATTTTCCCTCCTTGAAGGTTCTCTCCTTCCCACCCTGTGGGCACTCCATCTGCTACTTGTATTGCTTTTTGTATTAATGACCTGCCTTGCGTGCATGTGCTCCAAGCCAGCAAAATGATCCAATCCTCTATGAGAAGCATCCGATTAAACTGTGCAAGGCCCATGTGACATCAGGGCAAGGTATGGAGTCAGTTTTGCTCGGCGCTGGATTCCAGATAAGGCAAATTCTTCTTTTTGCAGGTTATTCTGCTAACAGAAGGGGTGGGGGGTGGGGGAGGAACTATTTCATAGTGCTCAATAGGGCATTTTACACAGAATAGGTCCCCCAAAAGGGTTGGAGTAAGACTTTAAAGGTACAGTGACTTAAATCAAGGAGACCATAACATGCATTGTAAAACTAATAAATTATATCAAATGTATCTGGGTTACTTCCAGCCCATCGATTTGTAACTTATTAGAATTACTGGCATTTATAAAGCAATATGTAAAGATCAATACAACATGTAAAGAGGGCTCTGCCCATGAGCTGAGGTCTAGAGCTTTTAAAGCTCTTTTATACAAAGTGCAATGCTAGAGTGCCTGAATGTTTACAATCTAAAGCTTGAAATGGTGAACTAAGACAAGAGGTTAGCAAGGGAATTTTAATGTGATGACCTGAGATATTAAATAATTTGTAGCCATTGGTAAGCTGTATAGGTAATGAGGAGGTAATTGAGGAGATACTGTGGCTAGTAAGCCTGCAAAAAAACAAAACAAAATCCATTTAAAAAAAAACACTTTTTTTGGAATGCAGCATTGGGAGAAGCTCCCGGCTCTGCCTTCCATGTCTCCATCCGACTTCAGAAAGGGCCAAAGGCTTCTCATAGAGCCGTTTCACTCGCTCAAACCACATACACCGCAATCTGTGCTGATGAAGATTAGGAGGATGAGTGGGTGGGAAAGAGGATTTAAAGAAAACACTGAGGGTATAGGGAGGAAGGTAGTGTTCAACAAAGGGAAATATAAAGCTCAGTACAATGTGCAGTGCGCGATGGACATATTTTTTGCACAGGATTGACATTTGGCAGTTTGGAACATAGCTCCGGGCTGCCAAAGTCACATTTGCCTGGGTTGTAACTAGTCCCTGCCACTAAAGTGCAGATTACTCAGTATTCAGTGTGCAGTGTTTCAAGAAGAAAAGCTATACACACAGACTCCTACCACTATGACCACTTCAAATCACTAAATTGGTCATGGGGTTTGGAGTAACCCTTTAGAGGGGGTCTGTAATTACTCTGGAGTTTTAATATTCGGTTTACTTAACCTCTATTTTGAGGATATAAGGGTTTAAAATAAATAAATTAAATGTAGAAATCCACATTGCTGCACATAGGTCAATCCTATAACTTGAAGGAACACTATAGTCACCTAAATTTCTTTAGCTAAATAAAGTAGTTTTAGTGTATAGATCATTCCCCTGCAATTTCACTGCTCAATTCTCTGTCATTTAGGAGTTAAATCACTTTGTTTCTGTTTATGCAGCCCTAGCCACACCTCCCCTAGCTATGATTGACAGAGCTTGCATGAAAAAAAAAAAAAACTGGTTTTACTTTCAAACAGATGTAATTTACCTTAAATAATTGTATCTCAATCTCTAAATTGAACTTTAATCACATATAGGAAGCTCTTACAGGGTCTAGCAAGCTATTAACATAGCAGGGAATAAGAAAATCTTAATTAAATAGAACTTGCAATAAAAGCCTAAATAGGGCTCTCTTTACAGGAAGTGTTTATGGAAGGCTGTGCAAGTCACATGCAGGGAGGTGTGACTAGGGTTCATAAACAAAGGAAATTAACTACTAAATGGCAGAGTATTGAGCAGTAAGGCTGCAGGGGCATGTTCTATACACCAAAACTGCTTCATTAAGCTAAAGTTGTTCAGGTGACTATAGTGCCCCTTTAATGTCTCCATCTTCGCTCACTGTCATCCATTATTATAGAACAGTGATGGCGAACCTATGGCACGCGTGCCACAGGTGGCACACCGGGCCCTCTCTGTTGGCACGCGGCCATAGGTCGTCGGGAGAGGGGGCCGCTGGCTGTCTGCAGAGTAGGCACCTGCCTGCCCAAAACGGCAGGCGCCTACTCTGCTTCCATGTCGGGAGGCAGGGGGAGGGCTCTAGGAAGCAGCTCTCATGTCCTCCCCCGCGATGCTGTGTGGAGCGTTGCCGCGTGTTACCATGGCAATGCTCCACACAGCATCGTGCCGGATGACAGGAGAGCTGCTTCACACAAACCTACTTACCACCAAAGGGAAGAGGAAGGGAGGGGACGTACAGAATTAATATATATATATATATATATATATATCACCCTACCCTGCACACACACAGCACCCCCACATACATCACCTTACCCCGCGCGCACGCAGCACCCCTACCGCGCGCGCACGTTGCACCCCGCAGACAGACAGACACACACGCTGCACCCCTTAGACAGACAGACAGCACCCCTCACACACAAACACTGCACCCCTTAATGCAGTCTGTGTGTGTGTGTTTGTGTATAAATGAAATGTGCCATCATCTTCCAGTATCTCAGTATATGAATAGTGGTAAAGCCAAGGTTATTTCTGGTATTCTCTCCACCAATCTTGGTAATTTTATCTTTGTGATAGGATGTCTCCGAGCTGAGGAATGAGTTACAGCGGAAGGAGGCACTCATCCAGAAACATCTTGGAAAACTTCGAAGTTGGCAACAGATTTTAGAAGAAATAAACGTACAACATAAAAAGACAAGTGAGATGGCACAGGGGCCACTTGCCTACTTGGAGCAAGCTTCAGCCAATATTCCAGCACCCATGAAGCAAAAGTGATTGACATCCATGTACTGAGTATATTTTCATGTTTAATGAATGTGCTTTTTGTATATCATTTGTTAGTAAAATAAAATACTTATTTTTGGTTTTATAAATGTATGTATGTTTATTTTATTAATTAAAAGAAATCTTTTAATTGTATTTTAACTTTTGAGGATGGCTGTACATTTCTGTCACGGACTGTTAAGATTCAACCATCCCGATTGTTAGCTGGTAACCATTCATTGACTGATCAGTGTGGCAGCTCATGGATAGTCTCATTGCCGGATAGACTTGGGGACAATAAAAAGCAATTGTTTCTCAAAACATGTTTCCCTGGTCCTTGGCCATGCTTTTATGTGAACAGGAGGCTTTTATGCATACTATCATGGCTTAAAAGATCAATGAAGGGGGCAGAGTCTAAACGCCGAGCTGACTAGATGCATCCACCATGAGCTCCACATTGCAGAGACCTATATACCCTATTTTGAGTACTGAGACCTGGCCTAACCAGCCAGGGAGACGCGCAATAGCTGGCAACTACAACATGGGTCGAAAGACCCCCAAAAAAACAAAGTTGGATAAACCGCATGCAGGCTTGAATATCGGTGACCTCCTGCAGCAGGCACATAGTGCAGCTGGGCCCAAGATGGCCGCCTACTCAGAGTTATCGGATGGCTTCTCCCTTGAGTGGGTGCTCCACTGAAAGAGACGAGAGCAGACGACTCGCCTGTTAGTACGGCTCTCTTAAAGGGACACTCCAGGCACCCAGACCACATCTGCCCATTGGAGTGGTCTGGGTGCCATCTCCCACTACCCTTAACCCTGCAAGTGTAATTATTGCAGTTTTCATAAACTGCAATAATTACATTGCAGGGTTAACCTCTCCTCTAGTAGCTGTCTGCTAGACAGCCACTAGAAGGCACTTCCTGTTTTCTAGCACAGGTTTTAGAGTGTCGCTGGACGTCCTGCCGCTGTGTGAGGTCCTCCAGCGTCGCTCAATTCCCCATAGGAAAGCATTTTCAATGCTTTCCTATGGAGAGGTCTAATGGCACACGCGCGGCATTAGGTCTCCCCCCACCGGCGGCCGCGCATGCGCGATTGGTCTCCCCTGCCGGATGCGGACCTGAAACCACCACCGGGGGTCTCAGGTAAGTCACTGAAGGGGTTTTCACCCCTTCAGCAACATGGGATGGGTGGTGGGAGGGAGAGGGGACCTGCAGTGCCAGGAAAACTATTTGTTTTCCTGGCACCGGAGTGTCCCTTTAAAATAGCTCCTGGTGGACCTCCACAGAAATATCCACCAGGATGTGGAAAACTCTGCAAAGATTTGCAGAGCCTGACAAACAGATTGGGAGTTGTGGAGTCTATCTCCAGCTCCCATACTCACCGAATTGCATCCCTGCAACGGAAGGGTGGGGGACTGACTGCAATAAGTCCCCTTGTGGCGATGGATAATATGAGGCACAAGAACAACCTGAAAATTCAAGGTATCCCGGAATATGTTCCAACAGCGGAGCTTCAGCATGTCCTGCGTCGCCTTCTGGCGGCTTTACTGTCCTCAAAACAGTGGGATTGGGTGAATCTGTCAGAATCCCCAAAGCCCCAGCAGCGGTACCAAGGGAACTAATGGTAAAATTCCACAGAACCAAAGACAAGTTGGCCTTGCTGGCAGCAGTCAAAGAACAGTCACCTTACCAATTCAAAGCGATGTCCCTCTCATTCTATGCAGACCTCTCAGGTGGCACACTGGCATAGCAACGTTCCCTCTAACCATTCACTTCCCTCCTTTATGGAGCAAGGAATATAGTACAAATGGCGAATGTCACGCACACTACAGGTCCTCCAGGGCGAAGAAAAGCATGAAATCATTGATCTACAGGGGGCAGTGTATCTCCTGGCATTTTTGGTACTCCAAACCTACCCATGAGAGGAATCTGTATTCAGTGACTGAATTAATCCTGGGACAATCTGCAAAGCCTCATATGCAGCCGTTACCATGCCTAAAAAAGGCTTTACTTAGTTTAAACATACTTTTTTTTTTTTATCCCAGTAGTTCTGTTTAAGTTGTGTGGTTCTATGTATTTTTTTTTGTATAAATCTTTTCTTAAATGCTCTGTGAAACATCTCTCAGCCGACTGGTCCCAGACCAAACCAATACCCCCAATATCAATTCAAAAGGCAACAACATATCGTGAGGCGTTAATCAATAAGGGTACCCTCAAGCCCCAACTCATTGGCGGATCCGGGGGAGGGCAACGGGGCAATTGCCCCCCCCTCCCGAGATTCTCCCCTGCCGGCTAATGCAGGGCTGGCATTGTCCAAGTGCCAGCCCTGCAATGTGCCTGCGGACCGGGGAGAGAGATCAGAGATCTCCCAACCCCAGTCTGCAGGCACTGTGCTGACGGCAACGTTCCAAATCTCGCGAGAGTGAACTCTAGCCCTGGAGCGCGGGCTAGAGTTCACTCCTACCACTGGGACCACCAATGAATCCCCCACCGGACCACCAGGGACTAAGAATGTCCCCCCTCCTCCCAGTAAAGGTAAGAAGGGAGGGGGGACATTTAAATAAAAAAATAATAATTTATTATCAAAAAGCCTCCCCCTCCCAGCCATACAAACACTGCCCCCCCATACACACACACACTACCCCCATACACACACTGCCTGACAAACACTGCCCCCCATACACACACAGACACATACAGTGCCCTACACACACTGCTGCCCCCCCATACACACATTGCCCCCACACACAACCCCACACATACATACAGTGCCCCCGCATACATTCAGTGCCCCCATACAAACACTGCCCCACACAGACATACAGTGCCCCCCATACACACACGGCCTCAAAAACACATACACTGCCCCATACACACACTGCCTGACAAACACTGCCCCCCATACACACACAGACACATACAGTGCCCTACACACACTGCTGCTCCCCCATACACACATTGCCCCACACACATGACCCCCCATACACAGAGTACACCCCTGTAACGGACCGTTTTGCATACAAGGGGTAAAAACCGTTTAGGTGATCGGCCCCCTTTCCAGAGATACAGGCACAGCTACTGCAGAACACCAAAACTCATACAAAATAGCACTCCAACCCCCGAACTGGAACCTCCCAAATAGCTGCTAGCAGACGAACAGGAAAAGCAGACAATCAGCTTACACTCCTGGCAATCAGTCTAACAGCATACAATGAATCCCCCCAAGAACGAGACAAGGCTCCGTGTTGAGGGTCAAGCAGTGGTCTGAGGTGCTGGTACACCCAGCCTGGTTTTTATTACAGTCTTGCAAATACAGGACCGCCCACAGGGAGGTATAAAACAACCAATCACATCACAGTTACATCCCACATATTCCCTCCCCTTATCCTGAGAGGAAACTCAATTACACATACAGTTAAAACATACTTTCTACCCAACTTTCATAACTCTAAAACCATACATCACATTCACATAAAATTACATATTCACAATCAATCCATCCAGGGGAACAACATATTAAAAAATGGCATGTATCAGACCAGGGGTTCAAAAGTTAAGGGAAAGTCCTTTGTGACTAAATGAAGCATGGCTTTCTGGCCCAAACTAGTTTCAGAGTCTTCTATCCTGGAGAGTAATTCAATTATCTCCCAGGACAGACACAAGACTCCATTAAGCACATGGTTGCAAAAAGACACAAAACACTTTAAAATACATAAAGTCACCTTTTACACATAAGACACAGACATTTCACATATCCCCAGATAGCTGGGATCTGAGCGCACAAAACTACCAAATAGCGCTCAGATCCTATTCACACAGTTTAATCGCCATGGAGCCAAAGTCTTTACAGTTAGTTTCATACGAATGGGCTCCATGGGATTCCTATCTGGGGTATAACACATTCAAACAAATCTACCGAACCCCAGGCAGTAAAGCATGAATGAAGCTTTTCTGCAGGTAAAAAAGATGTATTTTAACAGGGGGCCATAGTCCAGAGGCAGCAGGCGAGCAACCAGGCTTCTCCAATGCAATGTGGCGAGATTGGTCTCGTCACATCTCTCCCCTTTTCCAAACAGACTAACAGGGTATCTGACCTCCTGCCGATCAGTGCCCTTGTTAGTCCAGCAGCCCACCCACAAAACATAATCAACAGCACAGCCCACCCACAATAAATGGTTACTACACCTGGGTAAAGGAGAAGCTTGTCCATGTCCAGGTGCCTCACCACGGCTGTGCTGGGTACGGGTACGCTGACTGGGTGGTTTGCTGCGTGGGCAGAGACCAGCGGCACTCTGCCCTGTTGCCAGCGCTACTGGGAGGGTAGCCTGGTTGAAGCCTGGTTGTTGGAGGGGGAGACCGACTGTCTCCCCTTTAACTACACCGCTCTGCTGCTAGAGACCGACTGTCTCCCCTTTAGACACACAGCTCTGCTGCTGGAGGCCGACTGTCTCCCCTTTTGTTGCACAGCTCTGCTGCCGGAGGGGGAGACCGACTGTCTCCCCTTTGGATACTCTAAGCTGTCGTTGGGGAGAGGGGGTAACAGGCTCCTCTCCCGATAGAACACTCTGCCGCTGGGGAAAGGAGACTGAGCTCTCTATTCCCTGCCCATTAATGATCTGCCGCTGGGGAGAGGTGGTAGCAAGCTCCTCTCCCATACATACTTTCATCCTCTGTGGAGGGAGACCGACTGTCTCTGCTCCCAATACAGTGTCCTGCTGCTGGGAAAAGGAGACTGGGCTCTCTATTCCCGGTAGGACACTCTGCCGCTGGGGAATGGAGACTGGGCTCCCAATTCCCTGCTGTATCTCCCGCTGGGGAATGGAGACTGGGCTCCCAATTCCCGGCACATCACTCGGCCGCTGGGGAATGGAGACTGGGCTCCCAATTCCCAAAAAATCACGCTGCTGCTGGGGGGCAGGAACAACTACCTCTGCCCCTGTAGCTCAGCCTGCCGCTGGGGAGGGAGGACGCTGCTCTCCTCTCCCTGCACTTCACACTGCCTTCCCGGCATATCACTCTGCTGCTGGGGGGCAGGAACAACTACCTCTGCCCCCTGTAACTCAGCCTGCCGCTGGGGAGGGAGGACACTACTCTCCTCTCCCTGCACTTCACACTGCCTTCCCTGCATATCACTCTGCTGCTGGGGGGCAGGAACAACTACCTCTGCCCCCTGTAACTCAGCCTGCCGCTGGGGAGGGAGGACGCTGCTCTCCTCTCCCTGCACTTCACACTGCCTTCCCGGCATATCACTCTGCTGCTGGGGGATGGAGACTGGGCTCCCAATTCCCTGCATATCACACTGCCGCTGGGGAGAGGAGACTGG